ACAGGGAAAAAAAAAATTTATATACTTTAAACTATCTACACAGGTATACTATGGTACCTAAATTATTTCTTAATTAAGAAAACCAATTTTATTAATAAATTAGCATTGTTAATAAAGCAGCCAACTCAAAGGAAGTTCTTGCCTAAAACTTTCAACATCCCAAATAATGCATGATTAAGTTCAAGTGGAACAGACATTCAGGTTTTTGTTTCTCCTAAATAATAAAATTATATCTGTGATTAGCAAGCATTTCATTAAATCAGTATAATTTTTTTTCCTCTCTTAAAGCTTACAGGGAGATAATGAGATGATACTGATCTGCATGGAAAGTGATCTGTCATGCAATTAGCTAAATGTAGTGGAGAAAAATTATGTTAAAAAAGCAATTTAGAACTGCCCAAACAGTAAGATCATTGGCTGTATATTTGAGTAAATCTATGCAAAAAAATGCCTAGAAAAACAAACCTCTTTGATCTTAATATGTTTCATGCAGAAATCCACTCCAAAGGGAAGTCAAGAGTTCATAGCAAATTCTTACTCACTTGGTCTGGCAATTTAACCAGCAGATGCTGAATCCAGCTCAGCTCAGGACCAGGTGGTATTCATCCAGAACTTCTGAAGGAAATAGTAAAATTATTAAATATGATGTGTAATCTCTTGCTTAAAACTACGTTGTTGCCAGAGGAAAAACATTGTGCAAACGTGATGCCAATGTCTGAAAAGGGCTCCAGGGGAAACATAGAATTACGAGCCAGTCTGTAAGCCTGGCACCCACAGAAGGAAAACTGTTGGGGACAGTAATAACAGATAAAAATCTCTGGACGCATGGTGTGCACAAATTTTGTAGAGGAAAGCTACACCTTGCAGATTTAGAATCTGAGCATGTGAACAAGATGATCCAGTTTGTTTTAAACAGGAACTACACAGTTGTTGGGATTTGCATAAGATAGCATTCCCTCACTCATTCCACGCTTGCTTTTGGTTGAAATGAATACCTTCTGGAGTCAATCATGGCTCAGTACTTACCCCTCAAGCCTTTATGACCATGCTCCACATGCTGTCTCTCACCACTATGCTCTTGTCCTAGTTTGGCTGGAACAGCATCACAGCCCAGCCATGCTGGGTAGGCCGCTAGCAGTTTTGAGTCAGCCAGGGTATCTGACCTGAGTTAGCTACAGGTGTAGCCCACACCATAATGTCATGGTCCCTTGTAATTAAAGGGGGAAAGTTTGCTGATGAGAGAGAACTCCTGTGGGATTCCCCTTGTGCTCTGGCTTGCTGCTCCTGAGGATTGCTCTCCTGTTGATTGTGACTGCTGTGTATTCATTTGGCTGAGTATAGCTTTGTGTACCTTTGTTAGTATTAGTGATGTTTCGTTAAATCTGTTTTCACTTCAAACCATGGGTTTCCTCTCCTTTTCCCAATTCCCCTTCCTGGCTGGTGAGGAGTCATCAGGTGGTACAGCAGCTGTTACAGTTTAGCCCTAGATATGGGCTAAAGGTAGACAGCTCTCAGCTCATTTGCTGTCTGTACAGCACGTGCCTAAGCTGAGAGGCTTCATAAAGCAGGCTGCGTCCAAGGAGTTTGGGCTATTTTGCATTTCTGCTGACTACACAAAGCCTTCAGCCATGGCTGCTGGCCCTGATGGCTTCAGCCTTCTTGCATGTGCTTAGGAAGCATGTCTTGACACTCTAGTGGGCCCATTCCTTGGAGTGGGGCTAGGTGAGGGGCTTCTGCTGTCCTGGGAAAGCTAGTCCTTCACATCTTCCCACATACAGTTGAGACTGGTGTGAGAGACATGCACTGATTTTATAGCGTTTGTTGTACTGCCCTGCAGCCCTGGCCAGCTTCTCACCCACCTGAGAGCAAGGGGGTTAATAGGACCATGCAGGTGTGTACCACTGGTGACCAGCTGTGTCCAGGACTTCCACAGATGAAGAATGTTGTGCTAAGTCCTCCACAAAAGCCCTCTACTCTCTGCCAGTTCAGCCTTTTCCATGTGGCATGGTCATGGCAGGCTTTCTTATACACAGCCTGGCACTGCCACTGGCACCACTAGTGAGTTTGTGCTGGGAAGACATGAATGTCAAGGGATGAAGCCATCCACTGACATGTAATGCAGGACAATAAGCCTGACATCTCATCTGAATTTGCACATCTAGAAAAGGTGAGCTGCAATGCAAACATGGCTCTGGGCTAGCTTTGGAAAAGTGGAATGGAAAGGACTGATTTCCTTCTCTCCCCAGAAAAAAAGTCAAAAAGGCACACTCCTTAGGCTGACAATCAGAGGTAATTACTTGGAAGCCAAGTTCCTGGCATACATGAGCATTTTGTGGACACACAGCCAGTGAGCTATGAGTAACTGGTGATTCAGTGGTGGCAATACCAGTAAAGGTCTTAACAACTCAGTAGAATACATGCTGAGTTTTTCAATGACTTGCATGTGTGCTTCAGGCTTCATGTTTTGTTTCTTTAAAAACACATGATGGGTACAACCCACATCACTGAGCTGCTGTATCACTTCTTGCATTGTTTTGTCATCACCTCTCTAGGTATAGCTTCCTAAGGCCTGGGATGATTTACCACATGGCAATGAATGTTCACAGATCATCCTGGAAGATATCTGGGCAGAGAAAGCAAAGTTGGTGTGGATTTGCTGGCTAGAAGGAACTAGGAGAATCATGGAAGCAGGCGTTCGGGAGCAATTAATATCATGGACAAGCAAATCATTGGTCTGGAGTGAAACGTGGAACAGCATGATTAATTAAAAGTAGGAGCAAAAGGCGATTAGGAATGGAGCCCCACAGGAAGTTTTGCTACAGCTGTTCATCTCTTTCATAAATGCTGCAGAAAATGGAAAAAGGAGTGAGGTAAAACAGTTATCTGCTGATGTTCAGTCATTCATGGAGAAGAGAAGCAAAAACTGACTTTGAAGAATTGCAGAAAGCTCTTTCTGATAAGATGGGAGAATAAAAATCACTGTAAAGCAGAAAACAGTTATAATTTTTCATGAACAGTGTAGGGCTCTAAACTGGATATTAGTATGCAGGAAAGAGACTACTGAACTTAGGTAGGCTCTTCCATGAGAGCATCAATTCAATTCTCAGTAGTCATTAAAAAAGCCAATAGGATTACATGTATTATTAGGAAAGGAACAGAGGAAAAACAACACAAAAACTCAGCATGCCATTATTTAAATCCTTGCTCTAAAGGATGCTCTAGAATTTAAAGACTTCATTGAAGTGAGTCACATATGGAAAGCAGGCTCAGTACCTCAAGTGTAAAGGATACCTTAGAAAGGCAGATATAGGCTACAAAATTTGGTCTGAGTTGATTTGTCCTCGATTATTCTTCTATAGAAAGTAGTTTTCTGAGTAAAGAGAAGTTGTTAACCGGAAGTTTGGGCAGCTTGGACTAGTCTGCATCTTGCTGTTGTCTATGAAGAAGAGCAAAAAAACAACCTAAGTTCAGTAGTCCTTTCTAAAAAGCATCTATTGCTTTTCCTGTGCTTTACCACTACTAAATCAGCACCTGTCTTGGCTGCCATTTCATCTGTTTGGGATATTAGAAAAATTTTAAATTGTCAGAGTAAATGTTCAGGAAATACTAGAATAATTACAAATAAATTCAAAACTAAAACAACAACAAAAAATGTCTGTGTTTGATTAAATGGGCAATGTTTGTCATTTAATAGAGTGGTTGATTGGTAGCACCCCATAAAAAATTTAAAGCTGAATTAGGCAGCTAAGAGAAAATTTGGTTTCAGAGACCTTGGTACCTAGTGTTCAAGCTTAATGCTCAATCATTGCAGGAATGGAAACATATTTTAACTTTTGTTTCTTCTATATGATTTTCTCCCAGTTTGAGATCCATGAGCAGAAAAATAAACTAGAATGTGTCATTCTGCATCATTTTCCTGCCAGTATGTTACACCTTTGAAACTGGAATGGAGTCCTGCTGGACTGAATGTTTTTTTTTTTTTCAGCTGAGACAGTTACATATTGTATACACCAATTGCCAGTTTGACTCGTTTTATCTCAGAATTTTAAAAACTGCAAAAATCTGTAAAAAATGGAGAAAATATAATTAATCTGCTAAAGAAAAGATAACTTAGAAATGAGAACTTTAGACGTAACTTTTCAATCTACTCTCCTACGTACCTACTTCCGTTGATGACACTATAAAACAAAGCTGGCAAGACTGGAAAAGAAGTTCAGGCCTTCCAGTCTGTGTATATCAAGTTTAAGGGGTCCGGGCTTGTTATTAGGAACCTGTTATTGCTTTGCGTATCTAAGTATAAGAGATTTTAAATGTGAATTTTTTTCTGTTGAGTTGCAGCAGGGATTTGTTCATAATATTAATTTACACTTTTGGTCATAAACAAGCTGTATACCAGAAGTAAAAAGCCTGTGACTTTGTGAAAATACTAGAGAGGATGATGTTTATGTATTCAAAAAGCAGAACTCGGAAGAAAGGATTTTTTTAAACAATCAGGATCGTTGTGTTTTACACTAATGCGTGACTAATGTGCCACAGTTTATCAGTTCAAGTTTGTATTCAAGTCATACACAAATTCTTGTACTGAGAAAATGTGTAGGCTTCTGCTTATATTTACTGATGATTCTAATATACTTTCATAAGGTTTGATCCAAGAACATTGAAACTGAGTCTTTCTGTTGACTTGCTGGGGTTTGGATCAGCACTTTTGTATGAAGTTAGCACTTCACCAAATGAGATAAATGTAACAGCTCTTGTTTTTCTGAGCATACCCAGTCTTCAGTCTGCTCTGAAAAATATGAAGATAAGAATAGTTTTCACATAAGGCAGGCAAAGTCTTCATTATGTTTTTCCCTTCTGTGCCCTTTTATTCAGCTACTCTTACCATTTTAAATCTTGTTGGTTGAGAGGCTGATTTATCACTCTCATCACTCACTGGCTGTGATTTATTGGCCATGGCATAACAGAATCCCTCTGAAAAATATTGCAGAGACATGAGGAGAAACAATCTTGCAAGGGGTTAATGCTGTAATCTTTTTCGAGCCTGTTTATAATCCCAACAGTAGTCCAGTAACAGAAGAGGGTGGATCTAAAAAAGTGCCTGAGGGGTGTGTGTGTGTGGATGGCCGTGCATACGCGTGAGCGTGGATGTGCACACATGCTTTGCTTTTCTGAACTGCCTTGTGTGCCCCTGGAATAAATCTTGTTCAGCCTGAACACGACTCTGTGTGTCGGGTGCTCCTGATGGAGAGGTAGAAGAGCTTCCTTGCACAACTGCTTCTCTTGTATTTCTCGTGAAGATTTCATTCAGAAATGTATTTGTTTACTGAAAGAATGGGCGGATAGTCACAAACCCACCCTCTTCTTCATCAAAGCTAACTTGTGGATACTGAAGAATGGAAATAGTTGATGCTAGCTTCCTTGGGAACACTACTAATATTACTGCTTTCCTGTGTGATATCATCTTGGAAAATGAGACTTTCTTCTGTGCAGATGATCCACCTTATCCTTCTAAAGGTATGTTTAGAAAAATAGTGCGTTGTTTTTTTTTTCCAGGCAGTTTTAGTTCTAGCTGGAAGTAGAGATATTATGGAAAGAAACAGCTACACAAGGCTTTTTCTCTGAGGCAGTGCAAAATCAACTGCTTGCTGATAAGTTAGGATGAGAAACAGGCAGGAAAGAATTTAGTATGTGCTGGTTTTCAAAGTTAAAAATTCAACTAGAACAAAACTTGGATATAATGGAAAACTAAACCAGTAGCATTATTGTGCACAAAATGTAAACAGCTCTGCTAAGGACTTGGAGAAACATGATTTTTACTCTTTGAGCAATTCAATAACGGTGGAGTTATCTGATCTGATACTGTGTATGAAAGTGATTAAATATGAAATTATAGCACTCTGAGGCTGAAAAAAGTATCCATGTATTAAAATATTTTTTGATTGCTGTATCGTTTCTTACTTTCCGCATAAAGGAGGAACTCCCATGGTGAGAGGTGCACACTGAGAAGCGTGAGCAGAAAGCGCTTTTAAGAAGTTGTATTTGGCTCTCCAAATGTACATTGTATTGCATGTATTGTATTTTAATATGACGCAGTTCAGGTGGATCAGAATAAGTTTAAGAATTTCAGCACTTCCACTGACTTTGCGTTGATATAAAGACGTAAACTATAGTAAAACTGAATACAGAAAGGGTTATAACTTTTTGTCAAATGATAAAACGTATAATACTAGTCTATGAACCGTACACACTATGACTGATTTTTCTTTGTGACAATTTTCAGATTTGCATCAGATAATTCGGATTCTGTTGTATTGTTTGATATTTCTGCTCAGCGTTTTGGGGAACATGCTGGTAATTACAGTGCTGATAAGAAACAAGAGGATGAGAACAGTCACCAACACGTTTCTGCTGTCACTAGCAGTCAGTGACCTGATGCTGTGTGTTTTCTGCATGCCGTTCACCCTCATTCCCAACCTGTTGAAAGATTTTATTTTTGGTAGCACTGTTTGCAAAACTGCCACTTATTTCATGGGTAAGTCGTGGAAGTTTATACTTATTTTGGAGACTGACTAATGAGATAGGTGAGATGGTCATTAAAGACCAGTAAAAAGCTGATTTTTTCCATCTGCCACTGAACAGTTACCAAAATCATGAAGAAACAGCTTTGTAGTACAGATCTTGTTCGTTCTGGTTTCCTCAGCCTGATCCAGAGAAATACAGAGGCAGCCACTTAATTTTAACGCCATACGTAAGTGTTTTGCTGGATCAGGTTAAGCGAGAAGTGTATTGCATGATCAAGCTTCGATGAGGAACCCGGCACACATGCTTGCTTACCCGTCACTGACAGAGTTGTTAGCGGTGTTCAGATCACCCATCAAAAATGACAGGGTTGGACAGTCCTCGCTAAGGGCAGATTTTGCCCACAGGCATTTGGTAGCAGTGATATATGAAAAAAAAAAGGCCAAAGTGGGTGTCATTTGCAGAGCTGGAAGTTAGAAGAAGCACTTTTTGAGAACAGACCAGGTGTGATCAGATCTCACCAGGAGATGACAAAATACAGATACAGGTTTTAGAGTCTGACTTTAAGAAGCATCACTTTTATATGCCTTGCCGTACCCCATTTGATTGTGGCTCCAGGAGTTTCAAAATGTCTGGATTACATATGTCTGTGTAAGCGACTTTTGTCTCACTTCCAATACTATGTCTGTGTTTGCTTGTTTCTTTAAAAAAAAAAAAAAGAGAGAACATTATGTAAAGTCTTTGCTACCTTGGGAGACCCTTGGTTAATTGCAGAAACCTTAGGTCCCCTTTCAACCCATGCCCTTGAGCACTTTGATGTAATGTGAAAGTACACACCTAAAGAGTGCGAATGGGAAATCAACATATTTTTGTAGATAAAACCATAAAACTAAAGGCCATGTTTAAACAATTATAATGAATTGCTGCCATAAATACCATAAAACATTACTAAAGCATTGTCATCTTTCTCTTACTTTGCACTGTGTAAATTACTTTATTAAAAAAAAAATACAGTGAAATATTTTTGAACATGAAGTTTTTCATTATGAAGATGTTTTATTTTAAGTCAGAATGTGGCTATTTCCCATTAGCAGTTCAGGTTAACAGAGGCTTCAACTGATGAACAGGCACTGCCATCCATTGCATCACCTATGCTCAAATTCTATTTTTAACGTGTAGGAAGGGTTATTTTAAATTACAGATCATTTGTGTGAAGCTAACTGTAAAGATACTGGCACTTCATATTTTGGCCCCCATTAGAACATTCACAAAGGCTGTTAAAAGAAAGCTCATTCACTGAAAGAAAAATTTGTGACAAAGTTAAGAAGAAATATTTATAATCTTGCAGTGATAAACTAGGACACCTCAGTGACAGAAATACAGACCACTGTGTTATATTTTATAATATACGAACAGGAGAAATTAAGGGCACTTGAAGGACAAAGATTCTGCTTCATGACTTCACTTCTCCTGCTTTGCAACTCCATTAGCATCTAATTAAAAAAGTGATAACACATTAAACTCTCTTGAATGAGAAAATCAGATCACCAGTCAAGCAGGACACGTAAAAAAATTAAAACAATAGAAGAGGGACTATGAAATTCTACGTTAAGAGAGTAATTAACAGCATAATGCCACTGGTTTCAAATGTTTGCGTTTCAGTGCAATTAGTGGAGTGGATAAAGCACAGTAGCAAAGAGAAGAATTAGGAGGAAAAGTGTTGTCTTTCTCTGCTCTCAGAATTTCATGTTTTAACAGAATGAATCTTTTCTCTTCTGGACTTCTGGAGTTAGAGAGGCACAGAGCAGGAACATCAGTCTGGAGACCCAGACCTATTGCCTAAACGTTCTTCGCTGACTTAATCAGTATAATATTTATAAATATTTTAGCTTATAGTTTGCTATATTTTTGGTTTTTCTATATGCATACAGAAAGCTAGCAAGACTATTTGAAATAACACGAACCACTAAAACAAAAGAATAACTTTTTTCTTTATTTTATATATATAGGTGTCTCTGTAAGTGTATCTACATTCAACCTGGTTGCCATATCTTTGGAGAGATATAGTGCCATTTGCAAACCTCTGCAGTCCAGGGTCTGGCAGACAAAATCTCATGCCTTGAAAGTGATTGCTGCTACCTGGTGTGTTTCCTTTGCTATCATGTCACCATACCCAATTTACAGCAAACTGGTACCTTTTACCAAGTATAACAACACCACAGCAAATATGTGTCGGCTCCTTTGGCCAAGTGATGTCATTCAGCAGTCTTGGTAAGACATAACCAACTGTTAGCCAATGCATAATTATAATAACAGGATTTCATGGTAGCATTAAGCCTAATGAAAAGCAAGTATTAACCTTCAGCAAACATTTACACTTCTATCATGCTTATTTAAGAAGTAAAAAAAACCAAACTAAAACCAAACATATTTTTAAGGTGCTTACGTTTTGACACTTGTATGATTTTTCCCGTGTCATAGGAATGATACCCAACATGACAATGATTCTTACACTATGGTCTGCTAAGCTCCTACTGTTGCTGTAAAGAAAGCATCTGTCTCAAGTAGGAATACTGATTTCACTTATTTATACATAAACATACATATTTTCAGATAAATCCTTGACTGATCTTTCAGAAATGCAGACACATACAAGCACCCCTCTGTGTTCTGCTTTGCTTGTTAATTTGTTTGTCTGAAGGTACTCTGAAGCAGTAAAGTAGAATGACAACTCGGAGAGGTTCAAAATGCCCTACTTGAGAACTGAACCCTTTTGGTCACTTATAGAGAACAGGGGGAGAGACAGTGCTCCAAGTCCTACATGTCCAGGCAGAGTAAGTAAATAGTAGCACTGTCGAGCAGCAATATTACTTAGGTATTTTGTCCTTGCATGATGACTAAGCACTTTAACTGGCACTGAGAAGATGTAAGATTTTTTTTGACTACCGAAGGTCAGCTGGAACCGGGAACAAGACTAAAGACAGACTGCTTCAGTACGGTGTGTCCACAAACATAGTCGATTTGTGTTAATGCTTTCGGTAGTCTCGGGTATGTGGCAGTATCAGTACAGATGAGGAGCGAGGGTGCAAGGCGAAATTCTTCTCTCCATGGTGTCATTGCAGATTCCCAGGTGCGTTAGGGAGTTTTCACCAAAGTCCCAGGAAGCAGAAGAGACTTGGGCTTGTGGATGCATTTAAACAGAATTATTTCCCCAACTTGTAATCACATTAGGGAAGCTGCCTAGGAGAGTAACATGTGCAACCAAGTAAGAGCTGCTTCCTTTAGCAAAGGGGCTGCCAGCCCTGAGATCCCTCCCTGGGGGCTCTGTGTGGCCCCAGGGATGAAAGCCCAGGTGGTGGCTGCTCTGTCCCTGCTCACATGTGCTACGACCCTTGGCAAGTCAGATCTCACTGAAGTAGCGACTGCCAGTACCAGGGGCTCCTTTGAGAATCTGCAGCTGCTCATCTGGCTTTTGCAAGGCAATTTTTACATCTTTCAAAGCCACAGGGCACCCAACACTCATCTGCCAACAGCAGGGGGCCCCACTCATGGACAGAGAGACCTTCTACCCCTTCTAACCTCTATGGGCGCGCCTGTCTCCTTGGGCCTGCAGAGGTTGGGTGACCGATGTTTTGCAGCCACAGTAGCCTTA